ATTCACTATTCGCACAAGCCTAGAAATGCATGATGCAGTACATCAGAAGTGGTATTTTCCATTATGACGCCTACCTAACAACAACACGACGAGTTTTGTGTTGTCATCGATCACTTGCCCTGCAGCCAGTTCACGTGACTACTACCTCTTTCTAAAGCTACAGAAAGATCTTCAGCGCAAAAAAAATTGTTGCTGATGATGAAGTGGGGAAAGCAGTTTTTGGACATTCTGAAGGGTGTACAAATGTTGGTTGAGAGATGTGGAAAATGTGTTGAATTGAAAGCAGACTTTCTTTGAAAGTGACACAATTGCTTCATTTCTGTCGTCATTAGAAGTTGTTCATGCTGGAAGCTTATAGAATTACCATACCCTCTTGCAAGTAGCTCATAATGAATGCGGCAAGTCTTATTACAAAGCAGAATATGTTATGAAAAGTAAGTTAGCTTGAATACAGTAGCTAGCTACAGCTCACAGTGCTCTAGCCGTGGTGTGAACAAATGCTTCTTTGGTGGCTGGTAAGAAAACTCTTTAGTTGTTCACTGTGGTAGGCAACTGGAATAGACTTAGAAGTGTCTTTGTTTGTACACTACTAGACGTGATTGATTGTTCTGAGTGGCTTCTCACTTGATATATGCTGGCTATCGAAAAGGGCAAGCTCATTTTTTTACTTTTGTTATAAAAGGTACACTGTGCCTGGATACCTTTTTCAAATTCTTTATCGGTTTAGATGGAGCTCGCTCAGTTCATCTATCATATTTACATGACAAAGGTCAAGCTATTTCTAAATATAGAGTTGGAAGTTGAGGGGTTGGCTCACGATCAAAACTGAAAACAGTATGGCTAGTTGTGGTGGTACACACGAAAAACCAGGGACACTGTGGCATAGTTATGACATTACGTTTGTGTTTTCCTGGGACATTTAACATTTACCGTATTTTTTTGCATACTACCTTCACTATCGGCAATAATTTGCAAAAAGTTTTCTAAAAAGGACCTCTGCGTGTTGTCACTAAGCTAGCTTCTACGCATAGCTGGGAAACATTGCCATCAAGCCTTCTCTGTGCAGTGAAAATTGTGTTCGCAGTCTTTGCAAAATGCACTGTGGTGTTAATCGGCAATGTGTTCTTTCCTAAAATTTTCCAGCATTGCTTTCTACGAGGACAGGACAGAAGCGTACGTGAAACGATGGGCACTAACACCAACTATAAAGTCAGCAGCCATCCTGTCATGCATTTTTCTCTCCTCTCCTTTTCTGCTGGTAAGCAAAATTGACACTATGCAGAAATCCTGCGTCCTTGCATCAGAAAAAAAGAACACCGAGAACTCGTTTCCAGTCCAGCAGGGCCTGGGCATAGGCCTCGCTGCCAGGGGGGTTGCCCTAGGGCCCCTCGCCCCCCTCCCCGAAACTAAGTTCGGATGCTGGGGGTTTTTTACCCAGAACGAATACCACACTTACCAGCATAATAGGCTCACTTTTTTTTTTTTTTTTTTCAAAAATTCGGCTAGAACTTTAGGGTGCGCCAATTATGCGGGGTAATATTTTCGAAAATTTTTGCAACTCGGTTCTCGCGCTTTAAATCTGCACATTTGTCAAGTAAAAAGGGACTTTATCGTTTACCAATTAATTCAGCTTAAAACAAACATAGCTACATACCTTTTAATGAGCAAGCAAGAGCCGTCAACTGCACACTCGTAAAATTTATTTACACAAAAGTCGTAGGTGCTCCTCTTTTTCGCTATTCGGAGTACAAGTCGGAGAGCACACATTCGTCCTTGCCGAGCGAGGATTCGTTTTTGGTGTCCAAATAATCTGCACCCTATAACATGTCATCCTCACATGCATCTAGTACGTTCGAGATGCTTGTCTTTTTGAAGCTTTTCCTGGTGACTTCGTCAGAGATCGCCTTCCATGCTTCCATGATCCAAGTGCACAGCATTTCCATAGGCGGCCTCTTAATCTTACCACCTGGAGTCAGCTGATGTCCTCCAGCCAAGGTGGTGTACAGCCTTAGAACATTGTCCTCGAAAAGCTTATTCAAGAACACATCCAAAGGCTGCAGTATCAATGTGAGGCGCCCACAATCACTGCCAGATCTGTGTGCAGCTCCTTTAGCTCATCTTGTACGCGGTCTACTAGGTGCCCACTAAAACTGTCCAGGACAAGCATAGACAGGAACAACAGACCACGTGCACGTTTCTCCTCCCCTGTCATGTTTCTCGGCATATCTAAGCAAATGGGGGTCTGATCTGCATTGCCGATCTGGGACAAAATGAAGTCTTTCTGCTGTCAGAGCTGTATAACGAAATGGTGGAAGTCCACCACTTTGTCCTCATATGCTGCGGGCAAGTGCTGGCACAAGGTGGTCCGCCTTCGCAGTGCGAGGCCATGGCGCCGGATGATACAAGTTTTCCACCAGGAGCTGGCTTTGAACTCTTTTGCTTCGATGTGCTGCGTTCGGGCTATTCTGTGCGCCTCAATCTGCACAATATTGAATGACGCAGCACCGTCGTCTTGTTGTAGCTCCCGTATATGCCGGACCAGTTGCTCTTTGACGTTCAGATACCTGCCGGTCTTGGCACCGCGGAAAGCTCGTCGTGTCTTCTTCGTCGCCTAAGTTTTTCTTCTTGATCCCTCTAGTACCGAATACTAATTTGTTCAGCACCAAAATGCCTGCTTGCAGCCCGGTTGCTGTGTTTTAGTGTGTACTGCACTGCCTTTAGTTTATTCAGTATAAATCCAACCGTGTAGCTTGCGTACTTCCCCATGGTGGAAGCGAAGTTGAATACACAACCACAACATATGCACACCACTTGCAAAAATCTTTCTTTTTCTCTGATGATGGTGATGACGATCGAGCCCCCGGCATTGTACATGTGACCGCCAAGGAGCATGGCGGTTTGGGAGGTATCATTAATTAATAAAACAGCCGTTTTTTCAGGAGCTAAGCTCCTTAAAGCGGCACCTGTACGTCCCTCCTCGTAGTCGTAGTGCATAACCAGTCTTACACTTTAACCTGCAAGGTGGTGCCAGTGGGTGATTTCTTTTGTGCGTAGTTGAACAATAAAAGATTCGCAGCGTGCACGTTAACTAAAAGCCGAATTCTCCTGTCTCATTCCCAATTAGCAGCCATTGGCATGTACAGTGAGCACTATCTGACAAGAAAGGGTTGCAAGGTTATACTCGCTGGGCGTAACCTCCTTAGTTTTAGAAAGGTTTAGCGAGCGTTGGGCCGCAGTGTCATGAATACAGTGAACTAGTATATACCATCAACTCGAGGTGGTTAAAGGTGGGAAGTAGACACGAAGCGCAAGCCATAAGAAAGTGTGCGTGTACCACCTCTCGTTTAGTCCTTGGAATGTGCGCTTGATGGCGGTGCTTCTATATGCGGAATATATGATGAAAATATGCGAGATGGTGGCATTTGCAGTGTTGACTAGATGGACGAACGGACACACAGACAGACGCATGGACGGACGCACGAATGGCTGCACAGACAGATAGACGCATGAACGGGCGCAGAGGCGGATGCATGGACAAACGCAGGGACGGACGCATGGATGGTCGTGCGGATGCACGAACAGGTGCACGCACGGATGGATGGACTCACGGACGTTTACACAGACGGATGCACATATGATGAAAAGATGCGAGATAGTGGAACTTAAAGTGTTGACTAGATGGACGAACGGACACACAGACAGATGCATGGACGGACGCACGGATGGATGGATGCACGCACGAACGGGCAGATGGACGCACGGACGGTCACACAGACGAACGCATGGGCGGACGGAAGCAAGAACGAATGGATGGACGGATGCGTCGCCCCACTCTCCATCAGTCACCCCGTGGATATGCTGCTATTTCTTTTTCACGTTTTATTTTGTCAAACACGTTGGTTAGGTCGTCGCACTTCGAATTTTTTTATTTGTTCGTCGATTTGCCTTCTTTTTTTCTGCAGAGTACGGGGACTGGGTTCCAACTGTACCTCTGGCGGGTAGAATTGTTTTTGATCACGGCCAAGTTCGGGGTGCGCCTATTAAGCGCGGAATTTAAAAAATAGAATTTTCTGTGACCAAACTAGGGGTGCGTCTATTATGCGAGAGTGCCGATTATGCGAGTAAATATGCTAATATGAATAGGTGTTTTTCAAAGCTTTCAACAAGTTCTCCCCCCAAAAGAAATTTCTGGCTATTGGTCTTCCTGGGCATCGAAGAGGGATGACTAGGGGGTACATGTAATCGGCCCAGAAACTGTGTTAGTAAATGTGTTTATAAAATGTGCCGGTGCTTTTGTCTTTTTTTCTTCTTTTTTACATGTGTGTGTGTGAGATTTTGGAAGGGTCAAGCTGCATTCACGTCGACTTACAATTATCTCAATATGGTATGTTTGTGTACTGATTTCAAGTGTGCAATTTTTTGGCGGTCTTATGTATTTTGAAATATTATCTATTCCATATACCACTCTTGGAGCCATAGTTTGCTTAAAATAAGATGGCTACAAATTGCAATAACATAAGCAAAAACCTTCCTCACAATTATGGTGTTATTGACATAAGACGGCTGAATTGTGTCTGCAGTATTGACGGACGTATACATTAGTGTGGATTCAGCTACTGCATAGTTCCTGGAGCTGTAAAGTTAAGGTGTGTTGCTCTTTTAATTGTTAGAAATATTTAAAAGAGCATGGCTCTTGCAAGGAGCGCAGTTTATCGCTGTTGAATCACCCTTCATAGCTAGCACCAACTTCTGAAGCTGAAAGTACTTTGTCTGTTCAGGCTGGCTGCACAGTGCATAAATGTTTTCAGTCTGGAGTCGTGCCTTAAGCAGCATGTGTGAAGATAGGCGGACCCGAGTAAAATGCGAGACTTGGCAGTGTGAAGTCTAGAGGAGGAGTATCATGCATCGATGACAACCTAAAACATGGTGTGGGCGGTGGCCGTATCCTGTAATGCATCACAAGAAGCCTTCTCGGCAAGTTCAATGTGCTTGCCTTCTAGCTCACCTCCCTGGAGCTGCAGTATGTGTCACCAAAGCTCCTCATGTGCCGTGACTTTGAGCTGGCCGTGCCCGGCAGCTACAATCCAAACCAGCCTGTCATCCGCATTGCTCGCATTGAGAGTTCACTCCAGGTCATCACCAGCAAACAGAGGCCCAGGAAGTTGTGCATCAAGGGCAAGTGGGCTTCTTTTTTTATGTCTGAACCACTCATGAGATATCCTTGTTTGAGTTCTAGGTGTGCAAAGTATTTTAGAACACAGCTTCATGTTGGAATAGATACCATTATTAGTGCCCGACTTCCTCTGCACTAATCCCTGTGTTACCTCTGCTTCATGAGCTTCACCTTGAATGCAGAGCAGAGCGATATGGGTGGTTCCATCTTTTTTTTAAGGATCTAAATCCTTTTGTATTATTTTTGGTTTGTCACCAAAGAATAGGTTGAGTCCAATACCATGTTCAATTTAACTGCTTTGATTGTTAACTAAATAGGTGTTCATATTGTAGCTGTAATCATCTGTGAAATATTGAGTATGCTTCGCATTTCACTTAAGAGCATGAGTGCTGTTAAAGAAAGATTCTTGATGCATGCGAAGTCTTCAATGGTAAAGTTGAGCTTGTTTATTTTTGCATGTTTTTTTTTTCGTTTTGCACTATTCTTCTAAAATGTTGCACACTTTCAAAAAAACTTTTGATTGTAATGCAATATAATATTGTGACGATGGAATAGACCCACGTGAGATAACTGGCGGCGTTCCAGCCATTGGCTCGGCTCACCTGTTGATAGTGGTTGAGCCATTCTTCAACTTCATCGTCGGGTTTCCATGTGAAGTGCGTGGCTCTCGGTAGTGGTAAGGCTGTGGACGGCTGCTGTATGTCCGAGCTCATCTCTTGAGGTAGAGGTGACTAGTCAGCTGCTGCGGCAAAACGCGTACTGTTGTGGTTCCGTCATTAGTAGAAGGCTGCCCTCCAGCCTCACTTGGCAGTAGCTGGCTTATCCACCTCAACTGTGACGATGGGACACACTTATTTACACTATGAAATGATTGCGAGAGGTACAGCTTAGGGCCAGGAGACCGAGCTGCTCGCGAGCTTGTGCAGCTTTGACCTCGTCCTTTTCGTGCGCCTATCGAGGATATTTCAATATGTTTCTGTGAGGCTCTACTGTATTGTTATGGGGACCATTGTTCTGGAGCAAGTGTGTTTGAAATCTAGTCGAGCAACTTGTATTTGAAGGAAGATTTCTGACTTTACTGAATTGCAGGGAGCAATGGCAAAGACTACATGTTCTTGTTGAAGGGGCATGAAGACTTGAGGCAAGATGAAAGAGTGATGCAGCTGTTTGGCCTTGTCAATACACTGCTTGTGAATGACCCAGAAACATCACGTAGGAATCTGACGTAAGTCTATTCCACCTATGGCAGTTTTTATTGTTGTACAAGGCATATTTAAAAAGGAATGGCTGTTCTCTTATATTTAGCTACCAGCGGGTTAAAACAAAGTTGAACCCATGCAGCGTCATGTACTGGTTGTTTCTGAGGGAACCTATGTTATTTTTTGGATTCCGTTGGTTATTCTACGGACCCAGTTTGCTTCATGATAAATGCAGATGGGAATGTCAGTGAAAACTTTTGCTATTACCAGTTAATTCTTGTGCACAAGCGTATCACCAACTGCCGACATTTATCAGGAGTTTCATGTAGTTTATGGACCCACATTATTTGGTGAAAGAAAGGCTGGACAGTGAAGTCAAGACTTCAGAAATGGCTGCACACGAAGGCTAATGTGGTAAGCCCGGCATTCAGACCAATTAAATTGTTAATCAAGTTATCCAAATACACCTTGATTGACAATTAACAATCAGTGTTCTGACTGATAAGTTGCTGCATTTAATTTGCACCTCCTCCACTATTTCCTAGATTCTAACGAAAAATAAACGTTATGCGAAACATGCAGAGGGAAGGTGACCGTGTAGCAATTTTTTCATTTAGCTACACATCAAGAAAGGTCGCTAAATATATGTACAAATGGTATACGCACAGACATATGTTGAATAGTTGCAAATGTTTATATAATGAGTCGTTCGCACTTGCGCAATGATAGCAACGGGAACATGTGTATTAGTAACACCAGAAGCTGATATGAAGCGCTGATGCTCGTGAAGACGCTGGCCCTGGACACTTCTACATAAATCAACTTCAGTGCAGGGCACCAAACCACAATTGACGTTAACACAATGTGATGGCTGTATCAAAGGAGTACATATGTAATGTTTATAAAACTAGATAGGCAACACTGCAACCACTATTGACGTTTCACAAAGATTAGCGTCTATTTGAAAAGCAGTTCCGAGACCTGGCGTAGCTCTGTGGTAAAATGCTTCATTGCCATGCAGAATTCTTGGGTTCAATTTGAGCTAGGAACCTGACATTTATTCTTTGCATTCATCGGGTCGACGCAAACAATGTCGGGTAGTATTTCACGCCCACGCTTCATGCTCACGAGTTAAAATTGTCCACGTGTGTTTTCGTCTTTCCTGGGTAGATACTAAGTGTCAATCACCTGTGGCACATACTAACGGCACATACCCGCCCTTGGGTATGTGCCGTTGGCTAGGTAGATTAGGCTAGATAGGTACGCTCGAAGAGTCATCGAAGTTTAATAAGAAACGCTTCGCATTTAAAAATTGCTTAAACACTGGTAATGGGGTACTAGGTGTGTACCAAAACAGCTTACCGACCTTCACAAGGGGGAAAAAAATGTCATGTGCACGGGCTTTTCTGTAGCACTACCAACAATATGATGATTTGTTTTGCACATTGTGATGGACAACATGACATGAATATCCTACACTAATGCAGAAATAAAGCAATAGTCAATGCTGTGGTGCCATTTTTTTTGACTGAATGCTAATAATTATTGTGAACAGGCAACTTTGAGGTGGTTGTAGAACTTCTGTCCATATGTATTCAAAAAGCTTCTCTGCTTTAGGAAAATGAAAACTCAACATCACTGCTATTGAATGATTAATTGTTACTCTCTGTACATATATTTGGGCCCAAAAGGTCTATGTTCCTATAGGCTTAAGCAGGTTGCAAGTTAAGCATGTTGGAACAAGTCATTTATTACTATATTAAGCAGGAACATGGGACAGGCGAGAGAACAAAGGCACAGAGCTTTCTTCGAATTAAGCTTTATACCAAAGGTTTATGCGCGTACATGCATGCACACACGTGCACACACACAGACACAAATAAAAAGATTTGAACAAAAAAGAAAAAGCTGCCAGAATGCAGTCTCCCCAGATGAGCATGCGGCGCGTAGGATGGCTGCACTGCGTAGCTCCAACCTGCAAGATCAACTGTAGGCCATCCAGGCCATCCACGAGGAGACAGGGTTTCCGGTCCTCCTTGGGGAAGGCCTAGGCTCAGGCTACGAATTTGCCGGAGTTAGAAGTTGTTACCACCACCAGATTAGGATAAGAATATGATGACAGCCGCATGCAGTATGACCACCTCTGTCATGACGCCGCATGAGAAATGAAAGTTCTTTATCGGAAAAGTGCAATGATGGTGTGCTTACACATGTGTCACGAGACCGTATGATCTCTTCCGCCACGTTGATTTCCCTCACATTTTGATTCAGGCTACATGCGAGGACCCCAGTGCCTCCACAAACACAGTCTCGCGTGTAGGTGCAAAGGTGCCCTGACTCTATGGTTTGAACGCCATGACGATGCTTACAGAGCCTGTCATTTAGACAGCTTCCTGTTTGAGCCCTGTACCTGCCACCGCACATCAGAGGGATTGCACACACAATGCCTTCAGCGCAGAGCACAAGCTTCTGTTGAGGGTCTGTGCTGTGGCCTCCTCTTTCGCTCATCTAAGAGGTCGATCTGCATAGGCTAGAAAGTTTGTCAAGGGCCATCTTTGTTCTCTTATGTGCGCTGTGTCTCGTGCTTGCACTTAGTACCATTATGAAGGCTATTTTAGCATTTCTATATTTGCTTAAAATACATGACTGTTTGTAACAAGTTCTTGCAGTGCACCACAATTGAGAATATTGTTGCAAGTTAAATTGGTTAATCTTTTATGGGGCATAATATTGTGAACTGTACACCAAGCTGCGTACAGGTCTTTGAAATTCTTTAAATTGAAAAATGGTGTTTTCAAGGCCCTTGAAAATTCAGGAATTTTTTCCATCTTAGAAAATTCTTCCTGATCAGTGTACTCTCACAATGACATTTCGACCTCCTTAATGTGGTAGATTGGCCTGTCAACCTGACAAACTCCCCATTTCAGAATCAGTAATGCGGTGCTAGCGCATGTGGTTCTGCTTTGCAAAACAGCACTGGTAAAAAAAACACTCCTTTCACAGTGAGGACGAAGCAGCGATAGCAAGAAGTCACACGAAGAACGGCAAACAACTCGATACTTGCAGCATGCCACTCAAGCTCGAAAGACACTAAAAGATGGGCCCAAGTGAACTATTGTCACGTCCAGACACTTGCAGTGCACTGCTTTAACACAAATAAGGACGCTCGAAAAGAACACATGCAGGGATACACGGGGCAATTGTGAACAAACAACTGTTACAGCTGTAAATTGTGCCTGAGCAGCGTGCTGCAAGTGTTGACTGCATACAATGGAACACTCTTGAAAAAAAAAATTTTATTCTTGAAAACCGTGGCACCGTTAGCATGGCCTTCGAGATTGTGCACTGGCAGGTTTCTCGTCGGATGCACCGATCGCACGGAGACTGCAAGGTCCGCCTCTTTCACGTTGTCATGGCGCATCTGTCCTTTCCCTATAGCAAGAAAGTTGTGTTGCGCCCCTTCATCTCGGAGGACTTTGTTCTGTCAATACCGGTTGTCTCGCACCTACCATGGGCCTACCAAAATGGCAGAGGGCAGCCTAGGAAAATGAAAAATGCAGATTTGAGTGGTGGACGCAGCCAACTCCTCCTTCGCACTGCACCGCTTGCACTTAGGTATCGCTGCGCCTTCGGTCTGGCTTGGATGAGAGGAGGGAAAAATAGTTCTGCACTGCTGTGTGATGTTACACTGACTTGAAAATGGCAGCTTACTGTGTATAGCTGAAGTGATCGTAATATAAACTGTGCAAAACATAGATGTGCATTTAATTATCCTTGCAGTTGCACAGAGCACCAGCACCACATCTAAACAAGGTAGCTGCTCAAATGATTAATTTAAACAGCATGAGTATGTTGCGAAGAAATAGGTCCAGTGTATGCTAAAGAGGGACACTAACTGAACAGACAAAATTTCTCGCTTGACGTCTGTCACGATTTCTTTTCCCGATGTCACCGCCGCCAGGTTTGGCATGGCCTGACAGATCTGCGGCGACGGTAAAATTTGTGCTCGTATATCTCTTGAGCCTCTCTAGCGCAATGCTTGACACTTTCTCTCGATGGCTTCTTACATTTCTCTTTCAAACTACATTAAAAAATGGTTTGTTTGGAACATGAGTATGTGCTTACAACTTTCGAACGCCATCAAAACAACCAGCAAGACCACTTTCTAAAACGTCCACATGGTTGCATTAAAAGTCTGAAAGCAATGAATTCAGTATTTTTTATTTTTTTAATTACGAAATGAAGAACTAATAGACAGTGGGACATATCAGTCCTACTGCCCCACAAAGAATGAAGTTCTGACTTTTTGTCTTTTTGTTTGCTGTGATGGTGTCTTTTTCAATGCTTAGCAAGGGTTCTGAATGTGAATCAATGAGCTTAGTACTATGCAGTCACTTAAGCCATTATATTGTGGGTAAGAATTCTTGCTCTTTTGACTTGTGATCATGCTTATAAATTCTAACTCTGTGAAATAAATTATAAGTTGATGTTTTAGGGCCGTACGCTTTATAGCTGCCTAATCTGACCAGACTTGGGAGTGTAACCGAGAATCTTTTTTGTCTGCTCTTTTTCCTACAGCATTCAGCGCTACTCAGTCATCCCGTTGTCCACAAACAGTGGGCTCATTGGCTGGGTGCCTCACTGTGACACTCTGCATACGCTCATTCGAGATTACAGGGACAAAAAGAAGATTTTGCTCAACATTGAACACCGAATTATGCTAAGGGTAAAGAATTCTGCACACACAGTAGTTTTCTTTGAATACAAGCCATAAGACTGCTTTTTTTTTTTTTTTATCATGACGTTCATGCTTCTTTTAGGTTGTATAGGTTGTATTACGGCTTAGCTACAGTGCACAAAAAAGCCAGCAGAGATGTAGAATTATTTTGTTTTATCTGTTAATGTTCAGTCATAATGCCTTGCATGTTCTTTAACAGCATGGGTGTCTGTGAATTCTTGCGTATAACTTCTTGATCAAGCAAACGAAACCTTCACACCCTGTTAGGTTACGTTTTTTAAGTTTCAGCTAGAAAAATGTCGCCCTCTAACTCCCAAAGGGCTTTTGACAACCTCAGCTCTTCACAAGGGATAAATAGATTTTGGTCTATGATGATGTAATGGGTATTTCATCAGTTTTTCAAAAGCTTTTGATGTGCTAAGGCTGTTCAAGAGTACTCTTTAATTTTTTTCTGTAGATGATGTTAGTGGTCTTACTTTTGAAGCATCTGTCTGGGTTTTTTTTTTTTTTTAACTTTACACAACAGGGCACTTTCCACGTGAGACCAGTGTGCCCTTTTCATGTGGTATTTTTCTGTGCTTTCATATAAGCATTAAATCGTCCGTGAGGCACTTCTCTTAGGTGCCATGCTTTTGATTAAGACAGTGAAAGGGATTCAGACATTGACTCTCTGCTTCATTCTTCAAGTGAAGAAAATCGTAACAACATTCAGGCAGCAGTGAGTATGCAGACAGAGAAAGTTGTGATGACACAGCTATGAGATTTCATGAATGGTGTTGCATGGGCTTTACCAAATGTTGCACATTAATAAAATTTTGCATTTACTGCTGTTGAAATTCAGCAAACCTTTTCTGCCAGAAGGCAGCTCTCAATTCGTAATAACAACGACTATATCTTGCCATGCAATGCCTTTAGATTAAGCTTTGTATTTAAGGGGGACACTGCTTTTATTCCTTGATTGATTTTCATGAGACTTAATGAGTTTATGTATATTTGTGTGCCATTTTTAAACATTCAATTATTTTTTCAATAAAATAAGTAGTTCTTAATATATAAAAATATTTTATGTGCCTTTTGGGAAGCAAGCTTCTTTCTAAATTGAGAGAGCTACAAATTAAATCAGCATATCGTTATAATGTGTAACCAGTCAGTGAACTTCTAGCTGGGATTTCACTTGTGTATGCTCAATTTTACCATAACGTTTCTTCTAATCGGTTTAGAAAATTCATTTTTGTAGCATTGCACACAGTTCTGGTCCCAGATTATTGTGATATGGTGATTTATTCTGTTTTGTATGTTGAAAACGAAACACTGTTGGAAAAGTAATTACATTATGAAATCGGCACACAAATACAATCGACCCAGAATATATCAAACTCGAAGCTCAATAGTTCAATATATCGATACTTCAAAATGCAAAATAATCATATTTAGGGCCCTAATTGAAGCATTTCGGACCTTGGAAATCATTACAAGCGCTGGCATAATGATTTGCTTACAGTGTAATGAAAAACAAGGTGTGAACAGCAAGTTACTGCACTTTATTTCGCATGAAAACGGCCCCTAAACTTGCCTTGCTTCTTGTGCACCGTCACGTTTTAGTCATCCTCAACATCAGAGGCTTTTCACATAAGCAAATTCAGCTCATTCGGTCTCAACAGTGTGATTGAAGCAGAACACTGACGCAAGCTTTGTAGTGCGGCAAAAGGTTGGTTAGTGGTGGCAGTGATGTCGTTGGCATAATCACAACCACACGGGTACACTTCTGCAGCACCGGACATGGCAGCCATGATATCACCATTGATACTGTTGAGAACAGCTACGTTGTCATCTGCACCGATAAGTCGCTCACTGTTCAAGATTGTGCCCTGAAATGCTGATGAGTCGCAAATTCACCGCGCCACTGTACGCCAGCGGTCAAGGCACAACGAAAGTTGTAACCTGGCCCACAAGGAAAGTTACAACGGTGTTTTACTTGACGTCGCTCCCAGCACCAGTGATAATTTTTATCGCTACGTGCGGGTCGACGTTCAGTTCAACTCCCGAACGAGGATCTATCAGGAACGAGGCCAGGAGTTCACAATTCCAGAAAGCGCAAAAGGCAACGTCGAGTTTCCAGAGTCGGCATGTTGGTCATGTCAATATCACTTGTGGCTTTATAGCTGACAGCCGCTACTTTGATGCGAAAAGCTAGAAAAAGCATAGCCTCTGAGACATGCGTTTTAAAACCGAGAACACTAAAAATACATCACGAGGTTGCACATCTCGAAGGCCATGCTTTTCAAGCTTGCATGCCCCCTTCCCATGCCATTGTACGCTAACAAACAAGGAAAGAAATGCGAATATTGCAATTTAATTGCCGAGTCACTTCGCATTCTTACTTTGGTGTCCTCAGCAACATTCTTTTTTAATAACACTACGCCCACGCATTAAGACCTGCAGGTTGCGCATCAACGTATCGATGCACTCATAAGCGTCACGCAACGAACCAGATCAGTGTGATGCAATAACCTGTGCACACAAAGGGATCAAAACTTGTTAAAACGTGGCCAAAAATGAATCAGTATATGCTAGGAAAAATGCACTTTCAGGGCTACGGCACGGCGCAGCGTTCGATATAGCGGATGTCCCGCTGTGTGAGAGTTCAATATACGGGTGCACCGGTCCCATACTTTAGCATGGGAAATTCAAGGGGATTTCTCAACTGTTCGATATAGCCAGTAATTCGATATAGCCGAGCTTGATATATCCGGGATCAACTGTATACAAAACTCACCAACCTCAGTCAAAATAATCAAGAAATAAAAAAGATTTTTTTAAGTGCAATGTTTTCTTTTAGAGGAGCACCAACACAAAATTTCAAAAGTAACATATTTAGTGAGATATATTTATGTGGAGACATACACAACATCTACGAGCTATCAAGGGCCAATATAGCCTAGAACACATTTTAAATCAATATTAAAATGCATGTTGCGCAACTGAGGGAGATCCGGAGCCTCTTTCGACGCCGACATCAACACGGGGGCAATGTCAACAAACCTATGCCACGAGTTTATGTTGGCTGGCATGCACCTTCCACTTGCGCTCTCTTTGACTTGCTCCTCTATGCCTGCACATTTGCGTTTGCTGGCTGTGCTTAACATGAATGCTGCACTCTTGCATGAAGTCACAGTTTTGCGTGGTCACATGGCCAGCTGTGTTTATCGTGCCTCAAAAACTTCTTTTGCCTAGCTCGATGCTCTTTGAAACCGGAACTGAGACTGCGAAAGAGTGGCTACTTGGGCTGGTTGGTAATGCATTTTTAAAATAAATGCACTTTCTTAGGGCGCAGGGAACGTTTTTAGGAAGTCCTATCTGTCTTCTTCCTATAAACCTTCCCTGCGCACTAAAAAAGTGTATTTCTTTTAAAAAAAACTGAGTCTGGGCACTCTAAAAACGTCTCTAGGAATCATCCTGCACTTTTGCAAACGAGGATTCCAGCTGTGATAAGTGTGTCATAAGCTATCTATTGCGACAACAAAAAAAAAACAATGTAAAAAATTTTGTTTCAGTGCTTTTTTAAGCAAGTTACAGAAACATACTTTATGCCATGAAAAATTGTCCCATTAGAACAGTGTTCATTCACAAAAAAGAATGGCCTTTAAGGGGTGAAATGTGTACTAAAACTTTTTTGAGAATATAAAGGGACACTAAATTTTTGCGTAGCAGTAAAGTACAATTTCACAATCCCGAAAACACCACCCTTACTGTGGCACGACACCTGGTAAGCGAGAAAACACGTAAAAAGAAACAGCGGGTGTAGATGCCATTTTCAGTTTTCCACACCAAACTCTGTGACGTCATCAATTTTTGAAGGCATTTACTGGATCACACATAGCTTCTAATTGATAAAAATGCAGTACTGTGTCATCTGTGGATGCCATGACCTAGCATACGAAGTTTCAGAAAATTTCATCGAACCAATGTCACGAAAATATGAAAACTACATTTGAAATTTTCGATGTCATGTGTGGAGATTTCGGTGCAAAATTTTAAAATGGAAGTGCTAAAGAGCTTATGATTGTGAAACATGGCATTAGAGCTCAGTTCATCAATCTAAACCTAGTCATTGTTTTTTTTTTAGTGTCCCTTTAAGGAAATCCTGCTGATCTGTACATGAGCGTTCCACAAACGTGCAAGCCAGCTATATTATTGTGCGGTATACAGTAGGGAAATTACAATATTTTGTCGAACGTAGCCAGGAATTTTCTGCAGTTTCCTTTGCAATGTCATCATCTGCTATGCAGCAAGTTGGAGCAAGCAGCAGGCCCAACAGATATCAGCTGTTATCCTGAGCATGTGAACATTCATGATGATAGCATCGTTTCTAACTCTCATAGTCAAATGAGAACTTTACACCCGCAGCCTGGAAACTACAGGAAAATTGGTTGATATTCACTCTTCAAGTGTCTGTTGGATGAGTGTGGCAAATGCTTTATCTGTGCACATGTGACGCAGCATGCAGTGCTCTTTCAAAAATGGTGCCTGCTTTGTTTGAACATCTAAGACTAAGCTAACTGAACTAGCTTCAAAATATACCATCTGGATTTGGCCACTGTTCATTGATAAAGCCGGCATGGTCATCATCGGGTACTCACATAGCTCAGTGAGCCCGCATGCATGAGCAGGACCATAATGGCGCGAATATTTGAAATTTCTAATATTTTTTTAAGAGTGTTTGCTATTCGATTGGCACTAGAATGTTACTATTCAAACTATTCAACTTCCGAAGGACAAATATATTGTAAACGTCCAATCGAAATTGGCTTCTTCAGATTTTCAATGCGCTTCTCCCCATTAACCTCTTGTATTGCAGATATGACTGCAAGTGTATTGACTCAATAAAATGCTGGTTCTAACATGGATATGGTAGATGTGACAGTCGGGGGCTCAAATAATTCTGTTTTGGACCTAAGATTTGGGCAAGGAGTCCAAAATGTTTTACAGATGTCTAGCATTCAGATTTTTTTATATATTGATGTGTACAAGGCACACCTTTATCCTACAGAAGTTGAAAAAGGAGAGGCTGAGGAAATAGCATCTTTGCCTTTCACATGTAAAGTGTTGTCTGCAACTCTTTAATTACAGCAAATCATCTACATAAATACAATTCTGATTCTGCATTGCCTCATTCTTGATAACACAACTATAGTTAAAAGAAACTCTCTCATGTTGTTACTTCACACGATAAGCTTCAGAATCATATCCAATCTTTTTTCCTGCAATCTTGCTTTGGAATACAGAAAAAAATATTTTAAAAATATTTTAGAAATATTCTATTTGATTTTCACTCTCACTTCATTATTCGAATTCACTCCGCACCCAAGATCTTGCTATTTACACAGCTCTACTAATAAGCTATTGTGTTGTTCCATTGGCTGCACTGTGTAGCGTGGCTGCCACGAGGTGCTGCGCAGATGTGAACTGGCAGCATTGGCCAATGCTTTCGAAGAACTGAAATGAGAAAAAATGCTGACCTGGGCATTGCCCATTTTTTTGTCCTGTGCTTTGCAGTTTCCAACACACCTGTAGGAATGAAACAAGAGGAAGCCATTTCTAGTATGCAATACTGCCCTTATGCTTTAAGGAATGCAAACATTTTGTGGTGGGATATTTGTGTGACAGTCTAATCTAGTAGTGAAGTAATTCTATGATTCATTAGAAATGTATTTCAGTGGCCCTCTAAAATATATGTACTTTGAAAGTACATGCTGCAGATTGGCTGAGTTCTCTTGTGCGTTCAGCAAAGTTTTTGCGCTATATCTGTTTGTTGATCTTTATCATGAAAGTGTCACTTGGTGTTACATGCATTCATTTTTTTTTTTTTTTTGATGGCGTTCTGATTCAGCTTGCACTGTTTCTACTATTCTGCAAAGTTTGTAAAAAGGTGTACATAAGCAGATGTAAATATGCTGAAATTTTTTTTTCGCATGCTTATTAACCAGATGGCACCAGACTATGATCACCTGACTCTCATGCAAAAGGTGGAGGTCTTTGAGCATGCTCTTGAACACACCAATGGGGATGACCTAGCCAAGCTACTCTGGCTGAAGAGCCCCAGCTCAGAGGTTGGTCTTTGATTTCTCATGGGTCGGCTTACACACCTACATTGTTTAGGGTCAAGTCACCTGTTTAATCTTTTCACAACTGTGAACAAAGAAAAATTTAGTAAATTCACTTGAATTCTTTTTCGCTCACTTTGTGCAGCTTTTTTTCTTACTCCTAATAACATGATACTATTATTTCGAATTCAATGTAGAACCTTTATTTCCCAAAGGGGCTAAAAAAAAAAAAGCTTTAAGGAGGTTTGATGGCACAGCCTAAAGGTCATCATACTCCTCAGATAACAAAATGTCAGCTTCTATTTCTCTCTCAGAGCTGTTGTCTGATGAGGAGTCATCAAAAGACTTAACTTTGATTCCATCGTGGAAACTAGCAATGTTATATTCACGGTTCTCAGAAGGTGATATAATGAAAGGGGAGACATAAATGGCACAACACAAACATTTGTGTCCATCTACCATCTGGAATGGCTGCTACATGCAACGGGACAGTTATATTCGGCATAGGTTCACTGTGTGACAAGTTTTCCTCCTTGACAAGAACAATAGTATTTAGTTTCTATAAATTATTATTTAATTTCTCTAAATTATGATGACTATACTCATCAGTTCATTCAAAGGCTGATGACTTTGAATCATGATGAAATTTCTCTTATGACGTACTCAGTTGGGCGTTCATGAGCACTTTGGAGCGCTCTGAAAAATGGTTGCGCTTTAAGTTTGTAGAATTCGAGTGCTTGGACTACCTTCAATTGGCTCCTTTGGAACAACAAACTCTTGACTGTGGGCACTCCTGGCTGCTCTGACTTCAAAGTGAAGGCATAGTGCAATCTGGCCAAGAGGACGGTTCACGTGGTTGGTGGCAGATGAAAGCGCGATCGCAAATTACGAAAAGAGACATCACCGGATGCGTAATACTTCACAAACGTGTGTTGTTCGTGGCGTTTTGGAGCGTTTGCGGCGAGTTCACATCTACGAAGCCATAAATGCACCATGTCAAAAAGGTGGAGGCTAGTGAAGGCGGAGGAAACGTCATTGCTGTTGTTACAGCAGCTCACAGATGAATGCATGCCTTGAAGCTAGCAGCTCGGACGACTACGACCACCAGATTTATGTGCTGAGCTCAAAAGATTTATGTGCTGCGCTCTGCGTCCAGACATGTTGGAGATGGCCAGTTAACTGATCGGCGCCATTGTTCAATGCAGCACAGGAATGTTTACATCGCGGCTTCCTGCACTGGCTGCACGGTGGCACTACACGTGCACTGCTCCGAGATTGCCAATGTATTTGGTTTGTACGCTACTTTTTGCGCTCTGATTGCAAGCTGCCTTGAAATCTTGTGACTCTGAGCCAGACGACCAAAGCCGCCAACCAAATACATCATCTATTTTTAACCATATGAACAAGCAGTGAAACAATTGTGCAGACAAAGGGTGGTATTTAACTGATGTGTTGACATGTTGTTGACTTGTCCTCGTGTGTTATTCAGCCAATGATTCTGTTGAGACTGCATTTAGCAGCCCTCATGACCCATAACAAAAGTGATAAAGTAAGAGGGGGCACTGCTAGAACTCCTACAATTGACTAGATGAAGACAAGTCATGCGCTGTATTCGCAAATTTAGTTTGATTCAGTTGTGAGTACAGCTCATGGCCTGTCTTCATCTCGTCCTCGTTATATGTGCTTGCGCTGCCCCCTTTTACTTTACTGTGAATCCAAACCAACTCGCCCACCTAACTGTGACAAAAGTGGTCTGTTGATGCATCCAGGTGTGGTTTGATCGGCGCACCAACTACACGAGGTCATTGGCTGTCATGTCCATGGTCGGCTACGTACTTGGACTTGGAGACAGGTCAGTCGAAACTGTGTCATGGAAATGATATTTGTTATGATTATGGGAACGAATAGTTGTCTTGCTATAATGGCAATTAAATCTTAACATATCTGACATGTTGCTGAAAATGTTGTTAGATCAAGGTTGTCATGTTTTAGATATGCAAATTATTGGAAACGTTACCATACCATTCCTCTTGGCTTTCATGGTATGAATCAGCATGTACACAATTTTTTTTGTGCCATCGCTTTAAGAATACGGCTTTTTAAGTGTCCATTTAAAAAAAAGAAAGACTCTGGTCTCTTTTCCTAAATACAAGTAATTTGTCGTAAACATGGGTATATAGCACTGTTGCAAAAACATGCATCGAAACATACACTTGAAAAGCATTATAACAAAATGCATTTGACATGCACACAACTCATTTGTACTTAATATGAGCTTATATATTGTCATGTGGATAACAAAGAAACAACTTAGATTTATTTGGTGCATTCACTATACTGAGGTGCTATTCTTTTGAGGGGCATTCCTATTTGAAATGTGGTATTCGAGTCACCCCATTAGGAAGCAACCTTACGGATTAAAAAAAAAGTAACATCATAGTTTGAATGCATAGGCCAGAACTAGCAGTATTGCTGAAATTGAATGGTTTCGTAACAATAGTTTCATAAGCATATAGATATCGAGACATTTTACTTTCAGTGACTTAGGACTTGAGTGAGGTATGCAAAAGAACATGGGTTATACCTTTCTGCGCATTAAGTGTAGGAAGCTTTAAAAATGATTTTTGTGTACAGCTGCCAATTCAGTCAAGGACTATTTTTTTGTTCAGTATGCTTTGTGTTCATTTTTCAGTTCTGTTGAAGTGTAAAGTGCCATTTCGAAAGATGGTGAGCTGCTGTAAGGAAATCAAAAATATAATTTCAAGCAAATACATAATGCACTATTGGCACCATCTCATTTAGATTTCCTTTCTCTGTCATCTTTATTTGTTTTTAAAGTGTACTATCGTGACAATTTTATGATAATTCACATTACAAGCAATTGGGAAGGACTGTCTAAAAATGTATGAAACGTATATGCGAATTTCAATGTACTTTATAATATACTTGAAGAAAGAAAAAAGGATGTAACATCCTGTGTTGTGCAAGTTTCAGTAATTAATTGTAATCAGCATGCAAGTAAAGTTTTATTTATTCTGAAATCAGTGGTGTTTCATGTTGCATGAAACAAAATGTCTCTCAAAATGCTTAGAATTACAGAGAGCAGAACTAGTAGCTGCGTATTTATTCTAAAAAAAACAGGGTGCGCAAACAATCGATGTTAAAAGAAGCCAGGACATCACGAATGCTGACTGGAAGCTAGCCTTCTGATTTTTCTTTACATTGTCGAGGGCAAAAGTGCGCACTGAAATTTGATGAATGAGAAGTTTGTATTGGCATAGGAATGACAGTGCACATCTGATGATTGAGGCATGGCATATCGGTAACAGTGGTAGTGCATGTATTAGCCAACTGTCAATTAATTTGCATAAACATTAAATCGATTGCTTTGACAGTTACTTTTCACGTGGACTACCACACGTGCCAGGTAGATAGGTTCTAGGGGTGGGTGTGCGAATTTTTAAATTTTGAATTCGAATTGAATACAAATACATAGCTTCGAATATGAATCGAATATCAAATAACAAAGAGGTGCAATTTTTTTCCACTATTAATCTATTACTCAATTATATATTTATGTTGCAAACAGTACAATAGTTATTATATACAGTGGGGTGGTTCAAAATGCTACTTTTATTGAAATAGCAGTCCAGATATTCACTTGGCACGATTTAGGGGATGTTGAATGGTTTGAGCATATTTTTTTCTAAATGTAATATTTTTTTCACACTGCTCTAAATTTAGTTTCTCATGATAAAAAATGAGTGGTTTTTTTTCCTGTAATCTGCTTCAAATTTGCATTTTAGCGCTTCAAAATTAACATTTTTCTGCTCCAAAAATTGCTCCAAATTCTATTTTCTCTCTTGCACCCCTGGGTGCCATGGCTTCCTGCTTGTATCCATGTTAGCATACCCTGTTTCTTTCAGGATAAAAATGCTTGCATGATTTGTGTTTGGCTGTATTAGTTTCAAGCGAACACGGGATATTATTTGAACAACCCATCAAATATCTTCACCAAAATGATTCGCTGCATCCATATGCAGCACACGAAAGTCAAGTAAAGGCACATTTTCACCACCCAGTAGGTTCAGTAGAGTGGAAAGTTGGGCTAGTTGGATTGCTTGCATGATTTATGCAGTGCTAGATATGAAGCCGAAAGGAACACACAGTGCACATGACAAGTGCTGCGGCACAATTGAAGCATTCACTTTGAAAAACTGAAACGGGAAAACATCGCCGAGCATAGCAGACGTGCGCATGAATAAGACAGTAAAGAAAATCACTTAGCACCAACACGTTCGCATTCTTAACCCATTGGCTTCCGCAGCAGGCGGTCCAATGGCCAGTTTGGCAAGAACAAAATCGCTTTAACCGGCGAATTACCGGCCGCCTAAAAAATGTTTATTTTTTACATTGTTTCACAGATGGCAGCACAATATTTTGTGTTTGCCTTTTGCTTAATTTATTATCAGCTAGATAGACATGGTTGTCCATGTTTTTTAGCTGTTTTGTAAGTTTGTTTTCTTTAGCGGCAGCGAGTTTTTGAGAGTGGGAGACCTCATCTCCGAGGAGATCGAGTTGGGCTCGCGCGGCACGCCGCAGGGGTCAGTGAAATCGCCCACCCTGTTCAACCTTGTCATGGTCAGGTTGTTGAAGAGGCTCTCGTGTATCGAGGGCTTTCACCACACAATTTACGCAGATGAAATTACCATTTGGTGCTCAGGTGGCAGTGACGGGCAAGTCGAGTGCTTCCTGCAGGAGGCCATAGACACCATGGAAGATTAGGACTTAGGACAAATTATGGCAAACAACACGTTCAATACCAAATACCTACAATGTTAAATCGTCTACAAGGTCTTCTAGTTCACAATTCTACACTTTCTAACACCATTATCAAAACTACGCTGATGCGTTATGATATTGAGTAGGCTATCTAAAGTTTGTTTGATTTCTAATATCTTGTCTTTTTATATCTTTGATTTCTAATATTTTGCAATATGCTACGAAGATCTCATTTTGTATTTTGATGCTGTATTGTTGTTTCATGTTGTGCTGTTGTATTTTCAGGTCTACTGAAATATTGCTTTGTGATGAATTTTTTTTCTTTTGCATTTATTTCACACTGAGTAGTAAGATTATGCCAATGTTCCTTGTAATTTTGTGCAATAATATATTCAAAATATTTGTTTGACATGCAGATGCTCTGTAACCTGCATGCCAAACTGTATTTAGGAGCAGAGGCCCTTTGTCAGGCTGTATAGCCTTTAGTCTCTGCTCCTGCTCCTGTAAGTTGTTTTCAGGGCAAATAAACTTTCAATTCAATTCAATTACCTCCGTCCCACAGGCCCGAGGTGTTCCCCAGACAAATCTAAGCTCTTCCTCTACCAACCCACTAGAGGAGGGCTCAAGCCCAAAAACTGGCTGCCGATCTCGAAGAGTGATATGAAGCTCTACATCAAAGACGGTGGTGCAATACCCAGAGTCGACTCCATTCGGGTCCTTGGCATGACCATCGAGTCCAATGGTCCCAATGGCAAGACTATACTTAAGCTCGTCGCCAAGACGAATAACGCTGTTCGGCTGGTTCGGCGCGTGGCCAACCGCCACCAAGGCCTCAAGGAAGACAACCTAATCCGCCTGTTCAGTGCCTTTGTGCTCTGCCACTTTTAATATGTCGCGGCCATGCACAATTGGCAGCGTGCTGAGCGTGACAAGATCAACATCCTGCTCAGAAAGATTACCAAGCGGGCCGTCGGTATCCCGATCAGGACGCGCACCGAGCGCCTGCTCCAGCTCGGAGTACACAATACATTAGAGGAGATTGCCGAAGCACAGGAGCGGACCGAGCTCGCACGCCTTTCGAGCTCCCAGACCGGCAGACATATACTCCGAGAGCTCGGTCCTCTCCGGCTAAAGTGGACGAGAAGATGAAACAGGTGCCTCGTGAGATTCGTGATCTCATCACTGCGGCACCGGTACTGAGGAATGTCTATTTCGAGCGCAATCATGGTAGGCAACGGGCTAGAGCTGCCACTCGTCTCAAGAAGATCCACAGTGAGGAGCACGGCATCAGCTTTGTCGGCGCAGCGATGTACCGCGGGAGCCGCGCCTTCTCCGTAGTCGTCATCGATTCCAAACAGCAAATCGCCAACTGCGCATCGGTTCACACTGAGGATCCTGTGATTGCCGATCAAGTGGCCATCGCCGTGGCCATCCTGGATGGTGAAAAGAAGGTAATCTATAGTGATTCTAGGTCAGCCATTCGCGCTTTCGAGCGCGACATTGTCTCCAAGAAAGCCCTGCGCATGCTCTAGAGCGGCAGCCGCGATGGTATCAAGCATCACGTACTGATCTGGCACATGTTGGGCAGGTCCAAGGCGCCCCCCCAACCTCAACAAGGCTGCCCACAAGACTGCGTGCGCGCTAACCGACTGCTCCGGTTCCGGACAACGATTCGAGGCCAACGGGGTTGCGGAAAACCGGGACTTGCCTGCCACGTACAGCGAAATAACAAAACATTTTTACCTCGCGCAAAGACTATATCCGTCCCTCATCCAAAACTTAGTAGGCCCAGGCCCTTACGCTTAGACAACTGCAGACCGACATGTACCCTGACCTGAGATCTCTTCATGCTATTTATCCTGACGTGTTCCCCAATGACGCTTGTCCCGTGTGTGTGGACGTAGCAACACTGGCGCACATGCTCTGGGAGTGCAAGGCAATGTACACTAACCCCACTTTACTTCGTCAGGTGGGAAGTGGCCCTACGCAGCTCCCTCCTGGCTGACCAACTTTGGGCCTTCCAGTAGGCACGTGGAGCGACCAATAGGCTTGGCCTAACGGTCTCGACGTGGAAGTCGCCCACTGCGTGCTGACGAGCACCTTGCAGGACCACAATAAAGTTTTGCACCCAACCAACCAACCTGATGATCTTGAAACAAGTGTGCTTGCATCAGCCGGCCTTGAACCTTCGTGCGCATGCGTGAATTTTTTCTCACCTGCCAATAGCGTCAGTCGCTGAGGTATCTGAGTTGTTGAGATGTCTGAGTGAGGTAGTGCACAGTGCTGTCGTCGGTTTTTCATTGCAAGGAAAATGACGGAGCTACTGTACTGGAGCAGCGCTACTGCGTAAAATTTTGACAGAAACTGCACGACAGTCAAGTAGAAACCATTGGGAAGATGAAGACAGCTTTTGATGACGACACTATGAGCCACACACAGATTAAGGAGTGGTACAACTGGTTTAATGATGGCCGCATATCTGTGGAGAGCAAGCCACGTTCCGGTCGGTCATCAACATGCCGAAGTGATTAGGTCATTGCCGAAGTGAATGCTGCGGTGATACAAAACCGTCGTGTGACTATCTGGAAAATTGCGGAAAAGGTGGGCATCAGCACTTTCTCTGCACATTACATTATGACTGAAGATTTGGCGCTGAAGAGAGTTGCGGTGAAATTCATGCTGAAACTGCTCACAGTGGAGCATAAGCAACTTTGTGTTGAAGTGTCACAGGACATGCTGGATTTCACAAGCAGTGACCCTAACTTCATGAACATCATTTTCACTGGTGACGAGTCTTGGGTGTGCAGGTACAACCCGGAAACCAAATTCCAGTCGTCACAGTGGAAGCATTTCACGTCAACAAGACCACAAAAGGCCCACCAAGCGCACAGCAACGTCAACGTAATGCTGAGTCCTTTCTCTGACTCTTGCGGTGTGGCACATCATCACGAGTACGCAACAGAGGGTCAAGCAATCACCAAAGAGCGCTACACGGATGCCCTTTGTCACCTGCGTGATGCTGTGTGGCATAAGAGACCTGAGTTGTTGGAGCAGACAATTGGCGCGTCCATCACAACAATGCTCCTGCACATTCCTTACTCTTGGTTCAGACTTTTTTGGCGAAAAGACAGACTCCAATAGTTCAACAGGCTGGTTACTCACCTGATATGGCCCTCTGCGACTCCTGGCTGTTTTCTAAACTCAAAAGGACATTGAAAGGAGACCTATTTCAGACAAGGGAGGAGGTTATGGCTGCAACGACAGCTGAGCTAAATTCCATTCTGAAGGAGGCCTTCTCAGCATGCTTCCAATAATGGCAGCATTGCTGGGAGATGTGTGTGGAGTCCCAAGGGGACTACTTTGAGGGGGTTAGGTTTCCAACGCTCCAATTATGCCAGTTTTTTCTTCTTACACCAAAGGTTGGATATTATTCTAACAGACCATTGTACATCTGCTGCTTTGTCCTATGTACGATTTGCAGCAAGTAAGTGTATTTGGTATACAACTTTGTGCTCACAAGGTACATAATTGGATGTGTGTTTAACTTCACAGCCATCAGTTTACTTTTCACTGCTCTTCATTTTTTTCTTAATGAGAGGGCTCTGCGGCATTCGGAGACATGAAAGTGCTTTCTAGGCAGAGTAAAAAATTGTAAAATTATCGAAGCTTTTTACATTAAAACATTGGAGATGTATGTGTGAGCCATGCATTGTTTTTTTTTTTAGAGATAAGGAGTTTGCTTATCTGCTTGGTACTATCAGGTGACATGTTTTTAAAATTTATCTCAAGGGTGAACCCATGTTGTTGCTTAATGATTTGCTTTACTGTCTCACTTATGCGCATGCCTACTACGCCCTGCATTGTTTTCCCGCTCCAATTTTTCTAAATCTTTCAGTCGCGAGACAGCGGTCATCCTGTGCACTCTGTGTTCTTTTCGTCTTCGTCTCTAGCGCTGCGTCAATCATGCAAGCAATAGGTTCAATTCGTTCAATGTGCAGCTAGTTGGCAGAACTAGCAAAAACAAGTTGCATCTGCATATGTGGGTAGGGTGCCCGAAGGAGTTATAGCTGATAAGGCAGCATTAGATGTATTGATTGTTATGAGGAAATCGATTGTGAAGGAAATAGATTGTGATTGTGAAAAGGATGTATCGATTGTGAAGAGTTTGATTTGCACATTGTGCAGTGCTACACGTTTATGTGCTATTTTAAAGGAGTGGTGCAGCTATCTGACACAGAAAACTGTTCTATATAGTATCTGGCTTCGATATTGAAGTGGCAAGTTAGACATGTTCGTGTATATTTTCAGATTACTGCAGTGCTAAAAACAGACAAGGACGAAAGAAGACAGTGCACTCATCCTTTCCTTCTTGTTTTTTTCCTGCCCTTTTGTAGTGCTACCGTAACTATAGTTCAATATACACTGAAACCTCGATATAACGAACCCAGATATGTATAACAAAATATCAATTTTAACGAAGTAAAGGAAAAACAGTCTTGTAACATATTGTCACGTCGCTCCAGGGGTCTACAGAAGGTTTATTGAGGTCTATGTAACAGGATTCTTACGAAGCACGTCGGTTAGGCTTGCTTGCTAGACCGGGGTCAATTGGTTGAAGTGATCCAGCCAGCTTGCTTGGTGGCGACTTTCAACGCTGGCATTCATGACAGCTTTTGACGTACTGCTTCACGCTTGCTGAAAGTCCAGGCCAGTAGTACGTCTTGCTTACTCTGGCGGTGTTCGCGAGTAACCTAGATGACCAGATGTGGGCTCGTCATGACATGCAGAGAGGACGTCGTCCCGCATGTCCTTCAGGACGAGGAGGTGAGCGTGGTTTGTAGAACCGGCGTTTTTTTTTTTTTTTTTTTGTTCAGGACATTATCTCGGAGGCAGAAAGACATCACGACGCGAGAGTGGCAAAGTATAATGGCGCTATGACCCTATAAATAGTCAATGAGTGGTCTAATCTCTTCATCCTCTCGCTGCCGTCTGCTCAAGTCTGATGAGCCAAGGGCGCCCAGGAAACCATTATCGTTCTCTTCTTCCTGGCTGACTAAATGTGCGGGTGCACGCGACCGTGTATAAGCATCTCTGTGCTTCTCTTCAGACTTATAGACAATGGTCACATTAAATTCCTGTATACCCGAGCTTCATTGGACCAGTCTTTCTGAGGGATCACGTATGTTCGCCAACCAGCAGAGGGCATGGTGGTCCATCACCACTTTGAATGGACGACCATAGAGGTATAGGCGAAGCTTTGTGATCGCCCATACTACTGCAAGGCACTCTTTTTCTGTTGTCGTGTAATTCACCTCGGTACGGGACAGTGAGCGGCTGGGATAGGCTATTACTCGTTCTTTGCCGTGTTGATCCTGGACGAGCATTGCGCTGAGACCGATGTTACTGGCGTCAGTATGAGCCTCTGTGTCAGCATCATCATCAAAATGCCCAACAGGTGCTGACTAAATCTGCTGTCGCAGTTTGGGAAAAGCAGCCTGTTGCTCGATAGCCCATACCGGTGTATCGTCTCGTGCAAGACGGGTCAAGAATTTCACTATCTTTAAAAACCCTCTAGTGAATCGTCAATAATAGGCACGCAAGCCCAAAAAGCGCTGAACAGCCTTTTTGTCAGTAGTAGGTGGGCTACAGCGGTAAGCTTGTCGGGATCAGGTCAAACTCCTCTCGCATTAATTACATGGCCGAGAAACTTGAGCTCTTCATAACCAAAGTGACATTTTTCTGGTTTGAGTGTAAGATCTGCTGATCGAATAGCCTCCAGCACACTCCTGAGGCGGTGAAGATGTTTCTGGAATGTTTCAGAAAAAACGACTACATCATCAACCTTCTTGCTAGGAAGCACAGCCACTATTACAAAGAACACACAACACAAGCGCTTAACTTCAACTAAACGTTTATTGCAAACGTCAGAGTTTATAAAAGGGGTTAAAAAGAGAAGAAGAATAAAAAATGGTAGACATCAAAAAGCACACGTGCCAGTCCCGTACATTACTATACGTTATTGTCTATCACCCCATCCAAAAAAACATAGTTCTTTCCGCGTGAGCAAGGTAGAGGGCGCACTAACACAAACAAAATCATCACGTGTCATTTCAACCGCTTCTACTATCAAACGGGTTAACAAATCTCTGTCCCGATACAGCACGCACGTGTTATCGAAATAAGGCACACAACCGCACTCCTTACAGTGGATCGCCAAGTGACCATCGGTACCCTTCTGCACTTTATTGTGGTGCTCTTTTAGCCTTTCGTTAATGCATCTTTCAGTTGTTCCCACATAAACAAGACCACATGACAAGGGCACTCTGTAAACAACCGACTGTGCACACTCAACATATTTATTGCGATGCTTAATTTGGCAACTTTTCTTTTCTTTTGAAACAGGAATAGTTTGGTGACATATTCTGGACAGTTTTTCAGAGGCAGACATAACCACTCGGACGCCCACCTTATTACAACAATAAAGCGCTTCGGTTAAGTTGGCTCGCCAGATCGTGGTCTATTGGTTGAAGTAATCCAGCCGACTTGCTTGGTGGCGACTTTCGACGCTGGCATTCATGACAGCTTTTAACGTACTGCTTCACGCTTGGCAAAAATCCAGGCCAGTAGTACGTCTCGCTTACTTTGGCGAGTGTTTGCGAGTAACCTAGATGATCATATGTGGGCTTGTCATAACATGCGAATTGTATGTCGTCCCGCATGTCCTTGTGAACGAATAGGAGGTAAGTGGGGCTTGTTGAACGGGTGTTTTTCTTGTACATGACAATATGTAGTGTTATAAATGTGCCTTTTAACAAATTTTTGGATGTAACAAACTTAACTTATATTGGTGTAAGTTGCAAGTTTGTTATAATGAGGTTTGAGCCTATCTGGGTTCAACTAAGTACGTTTCAGTTATTCTTAGCTTATATAGAGTTCTGCGTTTTCAAATTTTCTTCTCCTTTTTGTCAGGCATCCTTCCAACTTAATGTTGGACCGGTTGAGTGGAAAGATTCTGCACATAGACTTTGGAGACTGCTTTGAAGTTGCCATGACACGTGAGAAGTTTCCAGAGAAAATTCCTTTTCGACTCACCAGGATGCTCATCAATGCCATGGAGGTAAGCAACATGCCATAAGGCTGCTGCTGTATGGCTTTCTTAGTGCCTTATTTTGATTTGCATGAGTTAGCATGAATCATCTCCCTAGTCATAAGTTGTGAATTCATGATTGTTTACTGATTTTATGTAGCAATAGTGAGCTGTACTGCCATCTTGGTGTCTGGAATGTACCCAAGTGGTAGCAATCCCTTGTAACTACAGGACCTGCAATCTCTGCAGCTGAGAGCATAAAGAGTGAGTCATGCCTATGTGAATAAATTTGCCAGCCGTTCCGCGCTGTGAAATGGAATGATTAGTGAATATGTGTACGGATTCGACACAGAATTTTAATGAAAGGTGCAGACGCATTTTATTGTCTTGAGAGGTGGAAGCACTTATTGTGATGAATAGCAAACACCAAGGCAAGCACAAATTTAATCTTAATTGGTGGTTATTACTTGCCTTTATCAATGCATCGTTCCTCACGAGTGCATGCTGCCTCTTCATTATGATGAGGAAAGTGAGGTTTAAAAATTGCACCATCTCTCGCTTAAGGGAACCATATATAGATTCGAAGCAGCGGGCCCTAACGCTTACGCTGGCGGTGGTATGAACGCGGGGGCTCATCGGGGTGTTACGCAAGAGAGAAACTTGGAGAGGCGCAAAGCACGCAGTGATGGACTCGTGTTTTCTACTGGAACATGCCAATCACAATTAATGGGCAATGAGAGGCAGATGATGCCGAGCGGACGCAGAAACACGCAGTCTGCTTTTAGTTAACACGCACGCCTCGAACTTTCATTGTTCAACAATGCACAGGAGAAATCTCCCACCGGCACTACCATGGAGGTCAAAAATCAGGGCCTTCTTTTTCATATACATACCTTCTTTTTCATATATATATATATATATATATATTGTTATGGCATTTATTAGCAGGCACACAGCGAGTATAGACAATGGCGACAGTAACGGCCAAGCACGGACTCCCAGCGCGAGCGGCGTCCTTCTTTGGGTAGACCCACTAGAGAACACTTGAGAGTTTGACCCACTTCAGTGTTCGGCGGCTTCTCTACAATCACCCCGGGGTCGAAGAGGGAGCCGCCTGGCGACCTAGCAGCTTGTCACTACGAGTGGGTCATAGTAAGCCTTCAGGCGCTCCACGTTGACTATGTCGCGCCCGCGGTGGCGCATGTCCGAAGATTGTTCAATTGGCTCGATAAGATAGTTGACCGGAGATGTGCGCTCGCTCACACGGTAGGGACCTTCATATTTCGGGAGTAGTTTGGAAGAAAGGCCAGCTACAGAGGTCGGGATTGAGAGCCATACAAGGGAACCAGGAAGGAACGTGGGTTCAGAAGTGGCGGAGCCATCACAAATACTCTTCTGCTGCTCTTGCTCATGCGTCGTAAATGTCTTGGCCAGCTCGCGACACTCTTCAGCAAGCCTGGCTGTCTCGGAAATAGGTGCACACTCAGATGGATCCGGCGTGTACGGGAGTATAGTGTCGATGGTGTGTGACGGGTGCCTTCCGTACAGCAAGAAGAAAGGTGAAAAACCGGTCGTGCTCTGAGGGGCGGTGTTGTAGGCGTAGGTTACGAAGGGCAGTATAGTATCCCAATTCGTATGGTTGGCGGCGACGTACATCGAAAGCATGTCGCCGAGGGTGCGGTTAAAGCGTTCGGTCAGGCCATTCGTCTGCGGGTGGTGAGCAGTTGTTTTGCGGTGGACAGAATGGCACTCCATGAGAATGGCTTCGACGACTTCTGACAAAAAGACACGGCCTCGATCGCTGAGAAGCTCCTGAGGTGGACCATGGTGCAGTATAAATCGGTGCAGTAGGAAGGACGCAACATCACGCGCAGTAGCCGCAGGGATAGCGGCGGTTTCGGCGTATCGCGTTAAATGATCTACGGCGACGATGGCCCAGCGGTTACCAGTCGACGTCAGAGGAAGCGGCCCATACAAATCGATACCTATGCGCCCAAACGGACGCTCAAGGCAAGGTAACGGTTGAAGACTGGCTGGCGACATGTGTGCTGACGGTTTGCAGCGTTGGCAAGCGAGGCAGGAGCGAACGAACTGCTGCACGTAGCGGTACATCCCGCGCCAGAAGTAGCGTTGTCGAATGCGACGGTAGGTTTTGAATACCCCAGAGTGCGCGCATTGCGGATCAGAGTGGAAGGATTCACAGATCTCTGACCGCAGACTGCGGGGTATCACGAGTAATCACTGCCGGCCATCGGCGTCGTAATTGCGTCAGTGTAGAAGGCCGTCACGGATGGCGAAATGGCGAGCTTGACGACGCAAGGCACGCGTCGATGGCGTTGCGGATGGATCAGCGAGCAAGTCGATGAGCAGGCCGATCGAATTATCCTTTCGCTGTTCGGTAGCGATGATGTCAACATCAATGGCAGAAACTGCAGTCGAGGATACCGAGCAGAGCACATCACCTTCAGGCAGAGAGGAGCGCATATAATATGCCACTTTCCTGAAGTTTTGTTATCACCCAGTTACACTACGTTCAGCGCAAACCGCGCGTATGATGTTCGAGAAGCTTCGAGGCTTTAGTAGATCGTTTTGTTAAGGTTACACCCACTTCGGGAACGTCACAGATTATTCGGAAACCTACGCTGCCTCTAGCGATAACACTAGAATATTCAATCGCAAGGGTATAAATGCCGACACGAATCGCCGCTTGTCAGTTGATCGTCGGCCGACGCTTGGTTCGCCGCTATTAGTGCACTGTCTTATTTTTTTTATTTTTTTTGCGTGGACACAAGTTTAGCTCGAATAAACAGTATCTTCTTCGACCTGGATTCTGCTCCCTTCGTTCGCATCACGACCCCGTGACATCTAGTGAAGGTGCTGCTTCGTTCATGTACCGGACACCCCCGCAAAGCCGTAAACCCTGCCCACGTCGCAAAGAAGACACAGACGCTAGCCAAGAGCACTGAACAAGCCGTAGGCAACAGGGTTTGCCTCTGGAGTATGGGCCTCTGCAAGGCAAGGCTTGGAAGATCAGGGCCATGACCTGGGCTGCGGCAACGGTGACAACTGCTACGCCACAGCCCGCGATTGTGATGCAGCAGCCAAGGCAACCATCTATTTCTCATGGGTCATCGTTCAAGTCCCGGAGATCTGGTTAGAGACCTACGACTGGGTGGCTGCCCTCAACCACTGGGACGTGAAACAGAAGCTCCAACGCGTCTACTTTTATCTGGAAGACGTGGCAAAGACCTGGTTCGAGAATCGGGAGTCTGGCCTTTAAAACGTGGGATCCTTTCTGCGGCGTATTCCTGCAAACGTTCTTGAGCGTCGCTCGCAAAGAGAAAGCTGCTGCGTTGCTGGAGACCCGGTTGTAGCTGCCCAATAAAAATGTCACCATTTTCACGGAAGAAATGAGCCGCCTCTTTCGCCACGCTGACCCCAACATGTTCGAGGAGTAGAAAGTCCATTTGCTCATGCGAGAGGTAAAGCATGACCTCTTCGCTCAGCTGGTGCAGAACTCACCAAAAACCATTCAAGAGTTTGTCTCAGAGGCCACGACAATCGAGAAGACTTTAGAAATGTGTACCCGTCAGTACTATCGCCGATCGATGCAAGACAGCACAGCTGTTAACACCCTCGGCTCCGATGACATACGTGGAACAATTTGAGCGATCGTATGGGAAGAGCTGCATAAATTGTTTCCGGCCTCATAGCATCCCGTTGACTCGATCGCCGACGTTGTACGCCAGGAAGTCCAGCAATTTTTCCAGCGCAGCATCAGCCATGAGCTATGCTGCTGCATCTCGCCGTCACGCCCCTCCTCTCCCACGCCAAAACGCCGCCTTGTCACACTTCCGTCGCCAGACGCCACCGCTGCCACCGCTGCCACCACCACCACCGACCTCCTACCGTTCGCCAGCGGGCCAGCGCATTGAGCCGAGAAAAACCGACGTTTGGCGGGCACCTAACAACCACCCGCTCTGCTACCACAGCGGTGAGGCCGGCCACACGTACCACCGTTGCCAGTACCAACAGATGGGCCTACGGGGCTTTGACATCAATGCGCCGGGCCCACAACGGGGTGAACAACCGCATGACATCGCCGACTACCTTGCGGGAGTGCAGTCGACACCCCGACGACCTTATCGTTCGCCGTCAACAGTCTGTCGCGCCTCACGGCACTGTGGGCAGTACACCGGCTCTGTTCAGGGCCGATCTCTGAGCCCTTACTAGCCAGTCTTGAGGTCCATCGACAAAAAGCACTTCGTGTTGTAGAGTTGATCCAAGGCACTGTCTATCCATGGGAGAGGATTAAGATTTTTTTTTGTGATTTTGTTGAGGCAGCGATAATCGACGCAGAAACGTAGGGTTCCATCCTTCTCTTTCATTAACACCACGGGTGATGCCCAAGCACTCTTAGACGGTTGGATGATGTCGTCGCGTAGCATTTCGTCGACTTGTCTTTTAACGGCCTCGCATTCTCACGTCGAAACTCTGTAAGGGCTCTGCCGTAGTTGCCTGGCGTTTTCCCCTGTTATTAGGTGATGTTTCCCGACTGCAGTCTGGCGAATTTTCGACGACAACGAAAAGCAGTCCTTGTATTGCAGGAGCAGGGCCTTAAGCTGTTCTTGCTTATGCTTCAGAAGGCTCCGATTGACGTCGAAAGCTGGGTGAGAAGCTTCGTTTTACGGCGTAGGTTCTGTAGTATCGGCGAGGGTGAAAGCATTGATGACTTTTTATTTTATTCTTTATTCAGTGAGTACCCCGCTTTGCTCAAAAAGGCGTTACAGCAGGGGGGTTACAGACTGGAATAAAACAATTCTTCGTTTATACAGCACACTTGCTCGTCTTGCAGCTGGTTCCAATCTCTAATGGTCATCACAAAAAAGGAATTATAAAACATGGTCGTTCTTGCTCGATACTCTTTCACTTTGCGTCGGTGGTCATGTCGACTAGATATGTAGCTGGGTTCACTGAAATAGTTATGACGGTCAATCCCAGTCCGCCCATGAAAAACAGAAAAGAAAAAC